GAATGATGTAGTGATGTGGTGATGTAGATCACTCCCATTCATTCATAATTGAGGATACAGTAACCATACTGCTCTCTGACATGTTGTTACAGGAGGCTGAGCGAGCAGAGCAGGGAGGAGAGCCCAGCCTCCTGTGACAGCGTGGGCTGTCTCTGCCCCCACACCGCTCTGCCGGACTGTGATAGGCGGCTGAGCGGTGTGGGAGGAGAGACACCGGTTCACGGCGGTCTCCTCCCGCAGCGCTTGGCCGGCTGTCACTTTCTCTCCTCCACGCTGGGACAGCGCCCAGCGGGGAAGATAGAAATCATGGCTGCGCCAACAATACGGCAGGAAAATGGCACTTTCGACATTTAGCCAAAAGTGCCATTTTCGGCCGGCGCTCCCCTTTAGCTTTACGCCTGGGGCCAGCGCACAGGCTGCCCCCACGGTTGTTACGCCACTGTTCCAGTGACCACATGAGATGCTCTTTGGATTCTAGCTGTAAAGGATAACATTAGCATTTCACTGATTGCCTTTACTTTTACTCCATCCTAAAACATTTTTTATATACAAAAATATACACCTACAGATAATACTTTAAGTGAGCAGAAATCTTAATATTATAAGAGTGGAACAATATTAGTATGATTCTGATAATACCACCCATATCTGATCAAATAACCATTAAAATAACAGACGCAAAAATATGTGGTCCAAACCTCTCTATCAAATCCTAATGGCTTGTTCAATTTTGTCATAGTAGCTACACCACCTAGTATTTATGATTTTAAAAAATAGTTTGAAAGCATTAGTGGAATGGTTGGAAGATGTCCATGTTGTTGCACTCCCTATATTAACTCTAGGGACTCTGGGGCCAACAGCCATTTTTCCTAATTCCTGGTAAGCAAAGATTAAAGTGACACTAAACTCAGGAGTTACATTTTCAAAATACATTCAAGTACCCCAACTATTACCAAACATGTATCTTATTTGTGTATCACTCAGCTGTAGGCCCTCAAATCATCTCTGAATTCATGTCCTTCCTTCTGGAGGGTGGCTACTTTTAATCTCCATGGTCCCTGTGTGTGTTGTAAAGTAGTCACCGCTCCATGCTCACTCCCATGATGGACCTCAATACCACTACAATTTAGTAAGCTAACCATGAGATTAAAGTCCATCACAGGAGTGAGTTTGGAGCAGTGGCTACTTTACAACACACACAGAGACCATGAGGAAAAATAGTATCCACCGTCCAGAAGGAAGGACAGTGTCAGCATGAATTCAGATATGTTGTTCAAAGTTAGGGTACTTGAATGCATTTTTCAGTTTTAACTCCTGAGTTTAGTGTCACTTTAATGGGAACGCACCAGATTCACATGTGAAAGGAAATATAAGGAGCATGCATCAGGTTCAAATATGAAAGCAAGGGTTTAAGAGATAAAATGAGACATTGATGAGGCCTGGTTTAGTCCATATTTATTGAAAAGATTTCTTAAGTTCTACAAAATAACCCAAATATAACTGTGTAGACTAAATGCAGCATATTCTAATAAACAGAAACTTGAAAAAAAGCACTTTCCAGTATAACAGCACTCTATGGTACATAGACAGAATAAGATTGATAGAAGCTACAAAATAAAAGTCAGGACATGCAGGTCAATGTTTGCTGCTTTCTGATGCCAAAGAAGATTTTAATGACACTTACTTTAATGGAAGTGATCTCTTCTACAGTTCAAGGTAGAATCTATCTAGTGAATAGGGGACAAGCTGGCATAATCCCCGTATGACTCTAAAGTAGGGAAAGACATCTTGTTTTTCAAGTGAAGAAAAATGCCACTCAAGTTTCTAATTGTCCTAACTATACCGAGGGTACTTTGTAAAAGCAATTTATGAATACCAAACGCGGTTAGATTAGTCTCCCCTTCATATTTCATGTTCAATGTTCCTCTAAGTAAAATATGCACATTCTCCCTCTCATTCAGTTATGAGCGCTACGTAAAAGGCAGGGGCACATTTTTTTGATAATGCACATCTTAAACTTTTCATTAAACAACCACATTTAAATTCTACCTTTTTCTGCACTCTGACATTTTTGTCTGGCATTTTCATTAATTTTGCGACATACATAAATGTAGCTGAAATGTTAACTGATCAATACTTTGTCTCTCTCATGTAGCACTAGAATACCATTCCCAGAGGAACACACAGCAGTACAGAAATTAAATGTGTAAAATATCAAATGTTAATGTTAAACACAGCAGCACTTAGAACGACGGAAAAGGCTAAAACAATTCCAAATGGACAGATGGTACCACAAATTATCCACAATCACTTTTAAAGATTAAAGTTTGTCCTGCAGAATAATTCACGGACGCATGCTTAAGTGTGTCCTTTTACTGATGGCTCAGTTGTCCAATTATTTTTTGCGCTCGTTACAGTGAGAAATGAAAGCTATGAAGGAAAGGAAAAGAGCAAAGACACAAGTGAGAGGGACAATGCTATGTGTCTTATAACATTAAATAGCACAGGGTCACTTGGTAAAGCAGAAAATGGGAAGCAGGAATAGAGGAAGTTTCATGCCATTGCATTTCTGTAGCCAAAACTGAATTTGTAGTTCTTATATCTTTAAAATTGCTCATTCCTTAAATTCTGATTGTTTTAAATTAAACGTGTCACATGTGAAGCAAGAAAACAATGTCAAAAAACAAAATATAACACTGAAGAAATCACTCCGTGTAGCACTGCCCCATGCCGGTGAAGGTAATTATTCAAAATGGAAATGGCCAGAGATTATTTTGCATAGAAAATTGTACATTAGTCCGAACACTCACAGGTAAATTAAGTAACATGAAAAGAATCCTGACACAACAAACAGAGATTACCAAACGTTTTATAGCCTCACTTAATCAAAGCAAAACTAGAAAACAAATTGCAGAACTTATACAACTTTAAACAAACAACCATTAGCTGATATGTTAGGGAAAAGAAATACAATTAAAAATATATATCTTACTATATGCCTATTTATCTACACATTTGAAATACAGAAATATATGCTTTTTTTTTTAATTTAGTTACAATCCGATATGCAAAAAAGAAAAAGTTGCCAGATAACCGACGAACAATCTATCTACCTAAAAGAACACACCACTGAAGAATGAGCCTGGCTAAAAGAGAACAGCAAAAAACATATTTATATATATTTTTTAAAAGAAAAAATATTGGAGGGGGAGGCAGGTAAATCCTGAAGTTCCCCTTTAAAACATCGGAACAAGCCAACTGTTTATTAATTTATCACTCACATATAATAAAACTGCAGTGTAATACCAGCTTACATCGCAACTATGTTTCAAAAGAGTGAACACAGGAAAGAGAAAGATTTCAGCATAATCATATAAACATTTTCCCTGCCAAGTGCATTACAGTAGGGGTTAAAGTCCTTGGGCTCTTAATCATATGTTTGGCACTGTATACTTTTTTTCAGAGACAAAGGTGAACACGTACCTATTGCACCACCACCATACATAAAAGATATCACATAAATTATAAACTACATTTTCTCATTAAAACTTAGTCTCACATTATTTTCTTCAGTGCATACCCAGAGATGACCTTTACCTGCTGCCAGTGAAGACCTGGCATAAGGTACATTATACGCATATGGCACTGATGTTCAATTTCTTCTCTTCAAATTAATTATAATTCTAACAATGTTCCAAGTGAAGGGAAGCCCCATCAGGCATATAGAGATTAAACTTCATTTTTTCAAATACCAAACCAAACCATATTACCTTAAAATGTCCTTGCATACTAGCTGAGTGAAACATTAAAGCAACAGTATCTCCCAAATAGGAAGGATATGGACAATGTCATCTGCGGCTTTTTGTATTTATCATAGCGAGAGGTTTATGCTGGCTATGTGATAGAAAAGATTAAATAAATTCTATGATTTCATTTTCTACTAAAAATGTAACACTTTAGCGAGAATATGGATAATCATGTTTCCCCAGTCACAGAATAATGCTGCAACAAAAAATATCATAGTTCTCTTACTAAAACAAACAAATACTTAATTTAAATGTAATAGATAATAGCGACAAATACATGAACAGACGGATAGATGGATATATGGGACAGAGGGATATATGACTTCTTCTATCATATGCCAAGATGTACATTTTTTTCTCACTTATCACCTTCCAGGTGTGTTATAACATGCCTCATGGTCCCTAGTTGTCTTCTGCTAGGACAATCCATAGAGTAAAGGTGGGTGGATGCAGAATAAAAGGTGGGTGGATGCAGAAGAAGTTCATCCTGTTAAAGCCCCACTCTAATATGACACCATTCCCAACCCTCCCTCTACAACCCCTCAAAGCCATCCTTTTATTTTTCCTTACCTAGTGAAGCAAGTTATACTCATAGTAGTCTCCCCCTCCTGGTTCCTTGACTGCCTGTCCCCTGCCATACCCTTGTGATGATGCCACAATTTGACATGTACCACCTACCTAAACATTATTGCTGACCAAGTACACTGATAGCCGTAGCCTCTTTCAGCAGGATAATGCACCCCACCACACTGCAAACATGGCTCAAGAATGGTTTGAGGAACACAACAATGAGACTGATGTGTTGACTTGGCCTTCAAATTCTCCAGATCTCAATCCATTCGAGCATCAGTGGGATGCGGTGGAAATACAAGTCTGATCCATGGAGGCGCCACCTTGCAATCTGCAGGACTTAACTAGTGACACATAAAACCAAAAACACAGATAGACTGATGGCCATATATAGATAAATAGATATTATTTTCAGTTTGGTATAACAATATATGCCGTAGCATGGTATAACTTATTTTTATTGTCTTTGAAGGTCTGGGAATTAAAGTATGTGCTAATTTGTCCTCTCCTCATTAATTGTTGTGCACCAGGTTGGCTAGATGACATGTATAATTTGCATCCCTTTAAAAAAAAAAAAAAACAACAGATGAGATAATTATGTAAGACAGTAGAGGATTATCATACCAAGAAAGCAGCAAGACTCCTTTGGGGTGAGTCCCAATCAAAGCAACTGTTAATGTAGTAGGCAGCATTGATGAGCACCATGACACAACGCTTCATGCGGATAAAGTTCCTCAGCAGTAACTGTGAGAGAGATGAAAAGATGAAAATATTATCAGAACAATTAAGTCTCAGAATGACCTGGAAGGTTGACAGCTCCTTCTAGACAATCAGGCTTAAAAGATGTGTTTTAAAGCAAGAGTTGGGAAAGGTTCAACAGAGGGATCAGTTTAAATCAATAGAGAAAAATAACTAGGCTCAAATTACACATACAGCTCCCTGAAACAAATGGTTACAATGAGATGAACTGTTTATAGCATAAAATTGACAAAACTAAGCATGAAAAACATCATTATTTTGCTGCTGGAAGTGATGCTAGATGATCATAGAGATATTATAGTTAGAAGTTACCATGCAATCAGATGCAAAACACAGGCCAGCTGTCTGGAAGAATACTTTTAATGATAATTAAAAGTTGGAACAAAGACATAGAAATGTTGTCCTTTAGATTTTTAAAGTGAAGGTTAACATAGCAGGGTTATAAGGTTATAAGAAGGTTAGTCATAGTGGTGACTACATCTCCTGACATTTTTAGGGTCAACCACACATAAAACTCATATTTCGGTTGCTGGAATGTCAAATTATATATTTATCTCTTATATTACTCGTTGGTATATCACATTCCCTGATGAAACACAACACAAAATGAACACATAACAGGGAATCCAATTTCAAGGGCATTGTACTTTGTGGCCTTTGAAAGCAGGTGGGTATAAAGGTTTTTTTTCTAATCCTTGATAAACTTTACTTTTTACTATTTTAAAGTGCTAAGGAGATACAGGAAAACATTTAAAAAGGATCCTAAAGCACCACCAACTGGCTTAAAAGGTGAATGCAGAATATTAAAGGATACCTTTTGCAAAAATTGCAAAAATGTAATATTTGCATTCTTCAAGCCTAGAAAGCATTGCAATCGTGATCACTCGATCACATCTGCAAAGCTCAGGCTTCTGCACATTTTCAAACTGCCAGAGCTCCTACGGAGGTACAAGGTTTCAGTTAGGAGAGATGGGGGGGAAGGACAACTAGACCTAAAACCTAATTAAATCACTTCATACGGTGTCCAGCCATCCTCGCTCTAGGTAGCGCTGCCTATATTCCCGCATCTGCTACAGCAAGGATGGCTGGACGCCATATGAGGTGATTTAATGCAGTTTGAAGTCCAGCAGCCCCCCTCCCCCCCATCTCTCCTAACTGAAACTCCATACCTCAGTACAGCAGAGCTCTGCCAGTTTGAAAATGTGCAGAAGCCTGAGCTTTGCAACTGTGATCGAGTGATCACAATTGCAATGCTTTCCAGGCTTGAATGCAAATATTAAATAAATGCATATTTTTTAAAATATATTATTAATTATGCATTTCTTTATTTTTTGCAAAAGGTGAACTTATCCTTTATTATGTATTATTTCTAGTTTACATTTTTTTTTTGTCCTAACCACAATAAAAGGAGTACATTATGCACATAACCACTGTGTATTCTCTAATAATGCCTAATCCTCTTCTTTCTTTGCAAGGAGAACACACAAAAGAAGCACCTCCATGGCTCAGGAAAGGAAAGAGCCGAGTGCTTGCCACTGGGAGCACATTCTCACTGGGAGCACATTCTCCTTTTTGAGAATGGTTGCCAATATAAAAGATTGTTTTGGATACAGGGCAATTCAATTTGTTTAAATTATTAGGCTGTCTTTTTAAGGGCAACTATGCACAGGGGTGTCCCGAGGCACGATGTCATCCGGAGCCGGTACTGGGTAACACCCCGCTATGACGTCATCGAGCATATGCATGATGTCATTGTGCAAATATGGCCATCTTTGTTATAAAAGCCGGCAGAGAGAGAAGGGGACGTTCACCTGGTGGGATAAGGTATGCCACTGAGTCCCCTCCTCTCTCCAGCAATTATTGGGCTTTTGATCCATGACTGAGTGCCCGACTGTCAGTCATTCAATGGTGTCACCCATGTGCGGGCCGCATCCCCCCTAGTGACGCCACTGACTATGCACACATCCTGGCCACCAAATTACCTTTCTAATCAAAGACTGTGCTGCAAACATACAACTTTGTACTGGGCAAACTTGCATATGTGTGCCTATGAGAGAGGGAAGAAGGGTACTGAGGGTATCAGGTGTCTCAAGGTAAACAATTACAATTGTCTTTTCCCCCAAACAGGCTTACTGGAGGGAACTAAAAAGATCAAGCAAATTGCACCTTCGGAGATTGGAAACACTCTATACCTTTATTATCATATTATAGTACATATAACAATGTGTTTCAGTCATGTGCATGTATTAACCATTAGTAAAACATGACTTAAAGTGACTCTGTCATTTTAACAGGGGAAAACAAACTGCTGACAGGTATGATGTACAGACAGATGCCTACACATTATTTCCAAATTTTTCGGTTCCACTGCTCTGCACAAATGCCAGCCATTCTGATTGGGTAAAACGTTAGCATTACCTGATATTTTGCCCACACCGTCCCACCTCCATTCATTGGCCCATCACTATGATGGACTGCAACATCTGCCAATAGCAATGTGTGGAAGGAGGGGTTGTGTAAGAAGCATTGCCCTGCATTTACGTGGGGCGGAAGCACTGAACACTTCTGCAGGTAGGTGCAGGCACTTCCATGTGCCTGCATTTAACACGTCAGCAGAGTCACGTTAAATTTCATAAAAATCATTTTACCCTCAGAGATCAATAAATTCCAGTTACTATTGAATATGAAAAAATATGAAAATTGAAATATGAAAACTAACTACTAAATTCTGAAACATTGCTTTTCTGTGGATAATTTCAGTAAACCAATGAGTAGATTTAGGTAGCTAACACAAGAACTTGCAGTCAGATATTTCTCATGAAAATCTACTATAGAAATTGTTTTATTTAGATATGGAAAATGCAGTTTTTTTTTTTTACAAGACAAATGTTTAGGACTGCCAATGCATACGTTTTGCAAAATACCATGACAAAATATGTGTTTTTACATTTTGTGCATTTGATTGCAAGTGCAGACTATATTATCTGATTTTGCATTTTCACATTTCATAGAATTTTTTTTTTCATCAGTCCTTACTAATTTTTCAATTTAATTGACTCCTGCTTTCAAATTATGATTTTACTCCATGTTAGAAATGGATGGTATAAATTGATTTGCAAAAGATTGCTGTCTATCACATTCTCAGCAGGTGCAAAGTATGGAACACCTTGCTCGGGGCTGATTTGTAAGTTGCTTCCTTCCACCCTGTTGGCTCCCTTAATTGCCCAGGTTCAAGGACAGAAATGAGTGAGATGTGACAGTTCTGGGACAAATACAAATTCCTTTATAACCCATTGCATGCCAGAATGCTGCAAACCATTTAATATATCTGAATCAGTACAGAATCTCTTCAGGAACCCATAAACATGAAATGCAGTATATCTTGCCCAATCCAGGTAACTTTGGCATCAATCTTTATATCTATGAGGATTGATATGATTTCTTGTGGGAGCTAGTGAATGCCCAAACAATGTTTGTGAGCCAACTGCTATTGTTTCCCCAAAGATGGAACCCTTCCCTACCTTCCCACCAGGGGTGTCTCACTGCACTTCATACCCTGCAAAAGTGTATGTCAGGGCAACATAAATACAATGCAAGTACAGAAATTCACCCGCTGCTTTTTCATTAATCCAGTGTGTAATTTCCTATTTGAGCTGAGAAAACATAGGGGTTGCTTTACTAAAGGCAAATAGGCCATTTACTGTGTAAGGGAATTATCACTTTGCAAGGGAATCTATCCTCAGCTTAGTGAAAGAAGTGAAGCTCTGCTGACTTCCATCATTCAATCACGTGCAAGCAAAATTACTGTTTTGGGTTTTTTGAATTTTCCTTGCACATGATTGGATAAGTGAACAGCATATTTGCCTTTAGAAAATCAACCCTATTGTTTATAAAATCCTAACCAGCGTTGTCAGCCCTGCCTGATGGACTACAGAACTCCACCTATCCCCCACTCTTTCTCTCTCTCCACATGCATACATTGATTTTTCTTTCCCAGCAAAACAATGTTGCTGCTTGACTAACAGGAGCCTATCCACACACAGAAGAACATTAATTAAACCAGTCATGTATTAATTAAAGAGCAATTTTCATGCAAAATGTTAGCATGACTCTTTGGGGTTTTTTGTGACCAAAATTACATATTTGATTCTAAATGAATGTGCAGCCAAATAGCGATTATTCTCTCTTAGACTGCAACTGCAAGCACCTCTTTTTCAAATTAAATAAATCTCACATTTGGCACAGAACTAAGAAGTGCAAAGGAGCACTTTTTTAAATAGGTGCAGATATTCTCATTTATTATGCAACTTGTGTACAGATAATAAATCTGCCCCTAGCTTGCAATGTAAAATATAATATGTGATAGGTTAGCAACCACAATCATTGAGGCGCTATTGATAAATGTCCCCCTTTGATTGTAGTGAAAGGGCTCTTGGAAGATGTAGTTCTGGGGCTTTTCTACATCAACAGCAACTGAGCTCCCTTCAGTTGCCCCTGCAAGAATTTTAAAAGTCTGGTGATAATATTACAGGCAGCATTAAAAAGCTGTTTGAGAGTAAATATGGGTCATGCATATGCAGCACTAATCCTTTATCATGCATTTTAAAGCAAAATCAAAGATTGTTCACTGGATGATCATGTGGCAATGACATGACAACTAATCTATTACTCTCTCCCACTAATCACAGAACTTCATCATGAAACAGTTGTATACAGTGTGAATACTGAATAACTTCATTCATGTAGACATTTGATTTATGCAAATGTTGATGATAACAGCAGCAACAATAATGATAATAAAAGTTACTATTCTACTTCAAGGTGTTTGGGCATATAAAAAGCAACAACAAATATTTTAACTGACTATACGCAGTTAATGAAAATTATTGCATGAATACAAATATCTGAACAATAAAGGAAATCAGTAAATAATTAATTAAATACTATTAAAATTATATTAACAGTAACAAAAATCCACAAAAAAA